AAAATTGTTTGAAATCAGAAATCTTATTTGAAAATGTATTTGAACTTTACATATTTATGATTTGATTAATTATTAAAAGTGTTTTATTTTGATAGTTTTGTTTTTAAATTATTTATAAATTAATTTTACATTTTTATGATTAGTAGTTGTATAATTTTCATTTTTGATTTTTAAAATTGCTAATTTATTTTAATTTTATATTTTTTGATTTAATTAATTATTAGCTTTTCATCAACTCAATGAAATAAAAATATTTTGAAACATTTAATGATGTATTTGAGTGTTTTATTTGGGATTGTTTATTATTTTTATATTATTTATTTATTATTATTATTATTATTATTAATGTATTTCTATTATTAATTCATTATTTGAAAGTTTTTTATTTTAATAGTATTTGCTTTAAAATTTATATTTTACATTTGTATGATTTGAATAATAATTATTTTTTAAATTGTTTTTACTGTTTTATATGTTTTATTTTTATTAATTAATTTTAATTTGACATTTGTATTATTTAATTATCAATTAGCTTTTCATCAACTCAGCAAAATGGAAATAGAAATATTTTGCAACCTTAAACATGTTATTAATATCTACAGCTGCAAAGTGGTTTTAAGTGCTTTTAGTGTGCTGCTATGGAGTTTCTAGGGTGTTGCTATGTGGTTGCTAGGGCCATCCTTAAAGTCATAAATACTAGTTCAAATTCTGACATTATCACACAAAACTGTGGACAGCTGATTACTGTGAGTTTGAACACTCTGAAGACAGATGGTTTATCTGAAGTGACACGAGCAGCTCGAGATCTGTAAGTCCTGAGAGATTTGAGTGCTTTATTTAAAAACTCTCGTCTGTTCCTGTCATACAGAAACTCACGTCAGCAAGAGTCTGAGACCAAAGCATGTCAAACTAAAATACTTCTGCATGATAAAAACTGTTACTACAGCTTACAGCACATCTGGTCCTATAGCAAAATTAACAGGAAGATTCATTGATAAAGATATCAGTCAAATTGAGCTTATGATTCAGTTGCTGAATTAGTCATTGGATTCTCTTCCAGTTATTACAGTTTTCACAACATTATTAAGTTAAAAAATGTCCTTCCTGAACTGAAGAGTAATGAATAGGCCAAATCTGACTTAATGAAATGGCATTCCTAATGCGTTTAACTTTCATTATCTGATGCATTTCTGAATAAAACCCAATATTCAGTGGGAATAGGGAGAGAAAGTTATTTTGATGGTTTTAATAAAGTCTGGTTATGATAAAATCCCCTTTATGCAATTATAATAAAGTCCCCAAGTTTGTTTTTTTAATGAAATCACTTCTGCTCATCAAGCCTGCATTTATTTGATCAAAAAATACAGAAAATACAGTAATATTGTGAAATATTATTACAATTTAAAATATCTGTTTTCTATCTGAATCTCTATTAAAATGTAATTTATTTCTGTGATAAAATCTGAATTTTCAGCATCATTACTGCAGTCTTCAGTGTCACATCATCTTCAGAAATCATTCTAATATTTGCTGCTCGAGAAACATTTCTGATTATTATCAATGTTGAAAACATTTGTTTCTTCATGTTTTTGTGGAAACGGTGATACATTTTATTTTTTTAGGATTCTTTGATGAATAGATATGTCAAAAGGGAAACATTTATTTAAAATCAAAATATTTTGTAACATTATAAATGTTTACATTTAAATGATTTAATTTAACATTTTTACACTTAATTCATGATTAGTAGTTTTATTTTGATTGTTTTTATTTTAAAATTCATTTATTTTAATTAAAATTTTGGTATTAATTATTAGGTTTTCATAAACTCAATGAGATAGAAATATTTAGCAACATTATAAATGTCTTTACTGTCACTTTTGATCAGTTTATTTAATGCATCATTGCTGAATAAAATTATTTCTTAAAAAATGTATTATTTATTTTAATTTGCCATTTTTATGATTTAATTAACTATTAGTGTTTTAGTTTGTTATTATTTTAAAAATATTTAAATTTTACATTTTTATGATTCAATTATTAGTGTTTTATTTTGTTTTAAAATTATTTGTTTTAATTTGACATTTGTATGATTTAATTAATGATTAGTAATTGTTTTATTTTAATTTATTTTAATTTTTAAATGATTAATTTATTTTTGCATTTTTATGATTTAATTAATTACTACCTTTTCATCAAGTCAATGAAATGTTTTGTAATTTTTTTTTTCTGTGAGTTTTGATCGATTTAATGCATCTTTGCTGAATAAAATGAAATTTTTGAATGGCTGTGTGTAATGCGCACTGATGAATCGTTCACAGTCAGACAGGAGCATGTTGTAGGACAGAAAACAGGGTCTGTATGTACCTGACTGATCAGATCTCTGATGCTGGCCAGCGTAGCGGCCTGTTTCTTCTTCAGACTCTGTTCCTGCGGTGAACCATCAGCGCTGCTGTTATTTGCCGACTGAAA